GCTGACCTCCTGTCTGACCTCCATCTACAAAACAAGGATAGAGAGCTGTGTATGAAACAGCCTTGTGTAAAGCACATGCCAACTGTGGATTGTATGATGAGGTATTAGATTTTGGAGGGGATCTGCACCTCTCTTTTATAGTAAACCTAGGATGTGTGGCTCCCTTTCTTCCTTGTGTATATCTGAGCTCCTCAAAGTGGTTCCTGTGTGGCCTGTTCTTCATAAGGATAATTTTGGGTTGAATTATCAGAAAATAATCTCTGAATGACTCATTGGGGCCAAGCCTTAAATTATCTTCTCTCAGATGTGAATTTTCTCTGAATTTCTTGAAATTTGTCTTCCTAAAGTATAATATACCTGTCTGATTTACCCCAACCTAAATTCTTCCTGTGTTGTACAATCCAATTTAGCTCTGAATTATATAATCTTCTCTATTTTATGCTGTTCCAGATACTATCTAATGTCTTTTGCATTAGAGTCACATACAATTTGAGGGAAGTGACCTTGTTTTAGACACTTGTGGACCCACAAGCATAGCTTTGCTGTAGACATATAATGAACATAATTGACAAACTGACAATATTTTATCTTGAACCCCTTGGACTTTAATTATATCATGAAATCACAGAAACTCAGAATTAGAAAAGATCCTAGATTTTGTCATGTTGTCTAACTCCCCCTCCAGGGCAAGGATTCCCTATAGATGGCCATCCAGCCTCTGCTTGAACACTTCCAGGGCTGGGAGCTCACCCATCTACAGGCAATCAATTATACTGTAGGATGTCCCCCTCTCTCCCACCCTGCCCCCTTTTATGAAAAAGATACATCATCAGATTCCATTGTAGAGAGACAGAGGGTGAGTCCTGCAACTTGTCCTCTGCCAAACCTATGCCTACCCCACTATAAACTGAAGTCCCAAGGAGCCTCTCTAAATCTTGCACGATCTGACCCAGCCCACTTACTTGCTTTGGTATCTTAGACAAATTATGTCACCTTGTTAAGTCTCCGTTTCTTCATCTGTAATTGGGATACCAATTCCAATGTCACAAGTTGTTGTGTAGGTTAAACAAGGTAATGCATGTAAACATAGTCTGGCCTACAGCACGTACTCAGTAAATACTAGCTGGTATGAATTAACTCCAGTAAATACTAGGGTTATAACAGATGCTGGCCTGACTGGAATAAGGTGGGCTAGCCAAATAAGGCATCATAGTAGAGATGAACCTAGAGTAATGCTCTTAAGGGTGAAAATGAGGGATTTCAGAGAAAAGTTACATAGCATTTGGGAAGGGCCTTTAGATAGGAAAATAGAGGTTTGTAGCCAAACTGAAAAGCGTAAAATTAAATGTTAGCAATCGGGGGTGGGGAGCAAGTAGGACCACCTATAGTTAAGTGCACAGTTTGATGTGGAAGGTAACTGGGAGTCACTGTAGAATTATGATAAGTAGAGTAACGGATCACAGTAACAGGACTCAAAAAAGAGAATTCCTGCTGATACTGAAGGTTAGACTGGAAGCAAAAGATCAGAGAGGAGACAGAAGCTGGTTTAGTTATGAATGACTTATATTTGACATCTGGAATTTTTTGAGTTCTACTATCTATCCCTTACAGTTTCTTTTTAGTTTTGTTTTGTCTTATTCTGGGCTATATAGCTGTTTGTTATCAGGACTGTTGGTCTACACAACCCCTACAGCCCATACTATTCTAATAGGTTGTTTCAAACCTGTAATGGGCCAAAAACAAAATAATCAATCTTCATTCATCATTCATTCACTCACTTACACATTCATTATTATATCTATTCATCTATCCACCAAAGAGTCACGACAACCACTAATTTATTTGACTAGGCTCTGGAATAATTTGGAAATGAATAAAATATAACTGTTGTCTTTAAGGATTTTATAAACTTCTTGGATAAATAGAATCACAAATAACTCTTATACTAGACTAGCGATTTTCAACCTTTTCATCTCGTGGCACACATAAACTAAAATTCTGCAGCACACTGAAAAACAGACTTTTTTGCTGATCTGACCAAAAAAAAGGTACTCACACCAGATGGCTATTATTGTGTTGGCTGTTATCATTTTTTTTTTTTATTTGACAGTCTAAGGGAAAAGAGGTCAGTACCCTTGACTAAATAGTCAGGTACTGCATGTTTTTTTTTTATTTTATTTTTTTTATTTTTTATCCTCACCCGAGGATATTTTTCCATTTTTTGTACAGATAGAGTGGGAGGGAGAGAGAGGAAGAGAGAGAGAGAAACATCGACGTGAAGGGACACATCGAGTGGCTGCCACCCGCACGACCAACCAGGGCCGGGATCAAACTGCAACCGAAGTACGTGCCCTTAGCGGGAACCGAACCCCGGTCTCTCCGGACCGCAGGCTGACGCTCTAACCGCTGAGCCAAACTGGCCAGGGCAGGTACTGCATGTTTTAAAAATTCTCGCAGTACACCGGTGTGCCTGCCATGGCACACAGGTTGAAAAATCGCTGCACTAGACAGATTCTAAGTACAAGAGGAATGAACAAAATTCTATGCCAGAGGTTGAAAAGTGGAAGCAAATCAGGCTTTTTTTGGCCAGCAAATGTTTTGTTTGGCCCACGTGTTTTTTTGTTGTGTGTTTTTTTTTTTTTTATGATTAGATTCCAACATTAAAAAATTAGGACATTTTGTATAAAAACCCAGATTCTTCATGTCTGGTGAAAATAGGAAGATCTGAACACACTAAGCCAATTCCTGCAGGGTGGTATTTGGCAGGATCTGAGCAGCAGCTGCTCTTTAGAGCTCTCCAGTTTGCCACACTCTTTGCCACTCCCTATTACTCTCTGACATCAAAGCCAAATGTTCAGTTGAAGTTATCATCTTGTGCTGTGGATACTTTTATAACACAGTTAAGAGAAAAGTAAAAAGGAATTTTAAAAAACTCAAATCTCTATTAAAAGTAGAAGTGATAAGCTATGTGTTGTGTTTTTTTTTTGTTGTTTTTTTTTTAAATGGGCTGTAGAATAGAATACTCTTAGGGAAAACAGATAATTCCTTGTGTTTAAGATGCACAAAAACATCTCCCATTTATGTTGCCTGCCTGACTCCTGCAGGCATTTGAGTTTGCAGCCTCTGTGATACAAAGAAAAATTAACATACTGGCTAAAAGCACCAGCTTTGGAATGAGGAAGACCTGAGCTTGAAAGCTGGCTCCAGCACTTAACTCACTGTGTGACCTTGGCAAATTATTTACCTTCTCTGTGTTTAGTTTCCTCATATGTAAAATAAAGGTAATTATAGTATCTACTTCAGAGGGCTGTTGTGAGGTGACAGTGAGATCAAAGATATGATGTTCTTAGCCAGTGCCTGGCACATGGTAAGTGTTACCTATTATTAGTGCAGACTACAAAAGAGCATCCATCTCCAAAGGAAGCCTTACAAGATGTGTAGGGTTTCAATGTGAGGAGATGAGGAAAGAAGGCATGCTTACTTCACATAGAAAGGCCTAAGAAAAGACAGAGAGGGAATGGCAAATATCCTGTGTCAGTGGCCAAAACAGAGGTTTCACAATGAAGCAGAAAAGATCATCTATTTAAAGATTTAAGTCAGGCTGGAGAGAACTACCCAATAAGTCAGTATTTCACAAAATGTATCATTGATGAATTTAGGTGACAAAAATGGAATAGGACATTAAATAACATTGAATCATAAGGTGAGAATATCATTCTTTTGATTCTCTTTCAGACCTTCTAATTAAGTGTAGGAGAACTTGTCAGTTTGATGTTATTCATCTCAAGCACCTCTCTGACCATACTTGCTAAATCTCCAGTTCTACAGACAGTAGACCTCAGGTTTAAAGGCTCCGTAGCAACAGTATCTAGCTACAACTTACTAATAGTTCTGTTTCTCCTTGCTTTAAGTTTTTTTTTAAATCCGCATTGGAGGATATGGTTTTTATTGATGAGAGAGAGATAAAAAGTGAGAGAGAGAGAAACATCGATCGCTTACCTCCTATAGGAGCCCCAGCCTGGTACGGAATGGAAACCTATGTGCCCTGACTGGGAATCGAACCCGCAACCTTTTTTGTGTGTGTACGGGGACAACGCTCCAACCAACTGAGCAACCCGGTCCGGGCTCTTTGCTTTCGATTTTACAGTTATTTTATTATAGCAAGTGATATTGATTTTTAAATATGCAGCAATAAAGTTACCTTGTAAAATCATAAAATATAAAAGCATATTTAGGCGAAAATAAGTGAGAATTTAGAGAAAAAAACGTCAAACAAGAGTATGAGTAATATGTGGATATGGCAAAAATTCTTAAGTTGGAGAAACATTATCGTGGATGTAAAAGGAGCCCAGAGCGGAACGTAAGGGAGTAACAAGACCAGATTGTGACTGTGTGTAAAACCACCGCAACAGGCCACTGCCTAACGCGTTGTACATCCCTTTGCCCCTCTCCAGGCCTCAGTTTCTCCATCTGCGAAGGGGTGGGAGAGCGACTTCACGGTCGCCCAGTCCCAGGGTTCAGTGCCCTCAGCCTAGGCCGCTGGCCCGTTGCCCCTAGCAACCACAGCAGTTCACGCAATGGTTCAGGCCATCCCCGCCTGGGCTCGGCCTCCCGCTCCTCCCGGACTGCCCCGCTCCTCACCACTGCTCGGCTTTATCTCTCCACGTCAACACGATCCTCATCGCGCCTTCCCTCACGCCTCGGGCCCCTCCTCCCTGCCTCAGCAACAGGGTCCTCGAAGCGAGTCACTTGGGCTACCTGAGCTACCCCTGACAACGCACATGCGCAGTGAGCTACGCGCGCACAGCAGAGAGTTACGACTGCGCATGTCTGAAAATGAGGGCTCGTGAAGGAGCAAAAGCGAAGATGGAACTGGAACCTAGCAGGCGTCTGCGCAACTGGGGCGCGCGCGATTGGTCGGAATGGACGGAGGGCGGTGCGTCCTCCTCGATAAAAGGATCTGATTGGTTGAGCTGCCGATACAGAGTGGGCGGGTAGAAAGCGCCTATGGAGTCTGACAGATTTTTGCTGCCCTCGGTTTTTGGTTTCAGCCTAGCACTCTGAGCCGAAGAGGTTTTCACATCTTACTCTGCTCCACACCCAGGGCGTCGCACCCTGTCGGCCCGTTGGTGCAGCCGGAGCCCGCTTGAGGGACACGGCTGGGATGGAGAGTCCGAGACTGGGGGACGATGGAGCTGCCCCCTTCGTCACCTCCAGTGGGAGCCTAGTCCCAGACCCGCCGTGTGACCTCCGGCAAGTTATTGTCCACTTTTGGGCCTCAATTTCATCACCTGTAAAGTGGGAGCAGGGGAATAAAAGATGGGTGGGCCTTTCTAACCTTGAGTCGACAGAGACCTCGAGGCTCAAGGGTTAGTTACTAGGCGTTAAGGTTGGAGTTCAATGCTATTCCAGTGGGGTCAACTCTGGGGTGCTCCCGACTTCCTTACCCAAAATGACGAGGGAGCTGGGAGGAGCAGGGAGGTGTACAAGGAGAGGTCTGCTTGGGTTGAAGGATCCCAGGAAGACCCTGAAGATGTCATGTTAAGTAGCCGAGAGCGCCCCCAAAATGGGTCTTACGAGAAATAACAGAGGAAGCTACATTCATGTGTTGAGTGCGATCTGGGGCTAAGATGAGTTATGTACTTTTCTTTGAAAATGTAATCCTCAGAACTACCTTAAGAGGTATTACCTCCTTTTTACAGATGAGGAAAGGAGACTGAGTGTTTAAATAACTTGCTCTTGGACACACAGCTAGTAAATGGCAGAGATGAGATTTGAACCCAGTATGTTGACTTTAAAGTTTGTACTCTTTTCACCAGGTTTCCATTTCCTTATCTCTAAAATTGTGAATTATATAATTTCTCAAGATCCACCGAGGTCCCCAAAATTATATAACCCCTAAATTACATTTAGTCACTAGCTCTTGTTTAGTTTCCTATTTGTAAAAAAGAAGTTGTGTTAGACATCTTTATAGACCCATTCAATTTTTGAAATGCGTGAGTTAGTGGTTAGGATACATTCTACTGAAGTTTTTCAGTAGTGGTACAGGGGGAGAAGTATTAGACCAAGATTTAGTAGATGTGGGTTCTGATATCAGCTCTGCAAGTAACTTAATCTTCCTGTCACTCAATTTTATCAATAAAATTAGAGTAATCCTTATCCAACCTTCCTAATAAGATTGTCATGAGGATCAAGAATGAAAGAGATTTGAAAATTCTGTGTCAGAAATTACCTTTTGGTAAGTAATCTGATGAAAGTGATACTCTGCCCCAGAAAAATACACATATGTATAACATTTTTACCTCACTTATTTGGGGAAGAGGAGGGTTCCTCACTGACTGCCTTAAGTAGGTCTATTGAACTCAGGTTAAGAGTTTAGAATTTGATTTATATTTTTAAAGTTATGCCAGCATCACCAGAAGTCTTTATAATAGCCCTATTGAATGAATTAAAAACAATTTATAGCAAATAGCTTGAGCTTTTCATTGTGTAGAGATTTTCAGCCCTTTTTAATCCATGTTGGAGAACAGGAAAACAGTGGAGGGCAGGAAGATATCCCCACAGCATAAGACTGGTCCTTACTGATTTTCATCTCTCCCACAATCCAGACAGTCCACATGGTTCCTGCTCTGTCATCGATTGAAATTGAATAAGCAGAGGAAAATCAACTTTCAATGAGCTAATCACTTGTATTTTGTTTTTTCAGCAAGGAAAATGTTGTTCTGGGATCCGAAAGAGTAGAAGATGAAAAACAAATGGTGATACAAAGCAGCAGTGAGTGTAATCTCCTGCTACAAGAACCCATTGCTTCAGCTCAGTTTGGTGGTGCTGAAATGACAGAATGCTGTAAGTCTGTCCCATGTGGTTGGAAAAGAGTTGTGAAGCAAAGGTTATCTGGAAAAACAGCAGGAAAATATGATGTATATTTTATCAGGTGAGCATGGAAGGTGGTAAAGATAGTGCAGCCACATAATTTTGTCCAAACAGGTAGTGGAAAAGCATAGCAGGTATCTTGACTTTTTTCTGTTTTTATCATAAAACCATTATGGATTCTATTCCTTCATTTTCACTGGTTAGTTTTACCAAGTATTTTATGGACAAATATATACATTTTCTCCTACTGTGAATGGTTAATGTAAAGTTGCACTTAAGTTATATTTGTAAAATGATTTTATAGTATCATATTCCTCCTCAAAGAAGAAACTATTTAAAAATATCATTTTGTCGCCCTGGCCAGTTTGGCTCAGTGGTTAAAGCGTCGGCCTGCGGTCCAGAGAGACCCGGGTTCAGTTCCCGCTAAGGGCACGTACTTCGGTTGCAGTTTGTCCCCGGCCCTGGTTGGTCGTGCGGGTGGCAGCCACTCGATGTGTCCCTTCACGTCGATGTTTCTCTCTCTCTCCCTTCCTTTCTCTCCCTCCCACTCTATCTGTACAAAAAATGGAAAAATGTCCTCGGGTGAGGATAGATAAAAATAAATAAATAAATAAAAGTATCATTTTGTCACTATTTTTGTTTTAATTGACAAATACCTGTGACAACATTTTTAATTTATTAATTAAGCATCTGAAATGTAGTTCAATTCTTTTTAAAAGTGACTTTTATTTACTATTAATGTTTCCTTTAATATCATTTTTAGCCCACAAGGACTGAAGTTCAGATCCAAAAGTTCACTTGCTAATTATCTTCACAAAAATGAAGAGACGTCTCTTAAGCCAGAGGATTTTGATTTTACTGTACTTTCTAAAAGGGGCAGAAAATCAAGAGATAAAGACTGCAGCATGGCAGCTCTGACATCCCAACTGCAAAATGAAAGTAGCATTTCAAACTGGAACCTCAGGACAAGAAGCGGGTGGAAAAAAGATGTGTTTCCTCTGCCAAGTGGTAGTTTGGAATTGCAAGATAGCAGAGAATTATCTAACTTTACTTCCATGCATTTGCTTTTGAAAGAAGGTGAGAGCGTTAATGATGTTGAATCCAGAAAGGTTAAAAAGTCCATAGGGAAGATGACTACTTTGAAAGGAATTCGAATTAAGAAAACTAAAACAGGGTTCCGGAAGAGTCTTCCAGATTCTGTTCAAAGTAATAGGAAAAGAGAATCTGTGTATAATAAGGCAGATGCTGAAAGCGAACCTGTGGCACAAAAAAGTCAGCTTGATGTCACTTCTGATGTCAGAGCAAGCAACAAGGCCCTCAATATGACCAATGAAGAAAAGAAATTTGTAAAAGAAAAATTGTGTTCAGGATCAAATTTTAGTTTTGAACAAATAACTTTTGGCATCATAAACAAATTATGTTCAACCAAAGAAGCTGAACACAAGAAGTATGAGGATACTTTTTTAGAATCTGAGGAAATAACAAAATTACAAGTTGGGGAAAGGAAGGAACATTTGCATATTGATAGTTTAAAATGTGACTCTGAAATGGACAACAACTACTCACAAACTGAGAAAGACTCCACTTCTGTGAAAATATGTCAAGGTATTGATTGCATTAAAGTGCTATTAAAAATGTGAAGAAGAGCCCTGGCCAGTTGGGCTCAGCGGTTAAAGCATCGGCCTGTGGTCCAGAGAAACCCGGGTTCGGTTTCTGCTAAGGGCAGGTACCTTGGTTGCAGTTTGTCCCCGGGCCCTGGTTGGGTTGTGCGGGAGGCAGCCACTTGATGTGTCCCTTTCACGTGGATGTTTCTCTCTCTCTCTCCCTCTCTCCCTCTCACTCTATCTGAACAAAAAATGGAAAAATGTCCTTGGGTGAGGATTAAAAAAAAAAAATGTGATGAAGAGGTTTATTCTCCTGGATACTGTATTTCATGCCTGTAACCAGATAAGATGTGGGAGTAGAATGAAGAAATCGGGCCAAATATCAGCACAGTCTACCAATTGATCCTAGTACTTTATCTAACTGATCTTCAAATCCCTTCCTATGGAAGAGGGAATCAACTGGCTACTACTTTGTTTACCCCAGCAAAGGAGAATTGTGCCATTAACAGCTGCTACCGTCTCCCTGGTGCAGCAGCTGGGACTCTCTTCAACAGCGCTTTCCCTTCTTCCCATCTTCTTTCCAGCCAGTAATCTTACAATTTGAGGGAAATGAAAAGGCTTCACTTGGAAAGGGTTTGGGGAAGATTCCTTTTATACATAAATTGGTTTAGAATAGTCAGTGTTTTCTCTTTGTACAACTCCTGTTACTTATTACAGATGTGTGACTTCCAATTTAATTTTGTTTATATCATAGTCATTTTCATCATCTATGATAATATAATGCTTCTCTAAACTGCTTTAGCACTCTAAATAATTCAAAACTGTACTCACATAGTTCATCTATTATTTGTAATATGTTCTTATTACAGAGCTTAGAGCTGAGTACTTTTGCCTTTATAATACCTCAGTGAATAAGAGATAAAAAGGAGACCACTTGAGCAACCTGGTATTAGTTATTCATTATACCATAATGGCATAATGAATAACTCCTTTAAAGAACAATAGTAATTTTACTTAAATCCTGCGGGGAGACAGCCTGGACAAATTGGTGAAGCAGGGGTTGGACTTGATTCCTGCTCTCAGGCCCCCTCGTGATTTTATGTCTTTGCTGTACCTGGAATTTTTCCACCTTTAACAGAAGGTAGTCATATATACCTAGGACCTGCCTAAGAATTCTTCAGGTCTGTTTTTTAAAGACTTTGAATTTCTTAAAGACTTTTGAGTTTCTTGAATGGGCAAATTAAATATTAAAAACATTCTTTTGCGATTGTAATGGAAGAGTATTTATCCTATACATAAAATCTAGTTCTCAACATAATATGAAGTACCGTTAGGTTTATAGATGTTCAATGGAATAATAAAGACTTTCCCATTGGCTTAAGTAGAAATTGCCCTGTCTCCCAGTAATAAAGGAGGCTAGTTAGGAATTATTTATAGGAACCCACAGAAAAAAAATATCAAGTAGTGAGTAAGCTCAGTTTCCTTTGTTCTAACTCTTTTTTACCTTCTATTAGACTTTACCTATTTCAACTAGAATGACAAAAAACCTTCAACTAATTATCTGGAGTCTGGGATACTTGTCCCCACCTCCAGTCAGTTCCACTATTGTTTTGGGACGGTTGCTTAATTTCTAAGTCTTAGTTTCTTCATCTGTAAAACGGAGGTAATAACCCTCACTAGTGCTGTTTTTCATATCAAGAATATTGTAAAGTAAAATGAGAAGTGAAAAAGATGGCTTCACGCTATGCAAATACAAGGTATTATTAACTGACATTCAAATTTAAAGGGTATGGCTAAAGGGTGTATTAAATGTGATAATTTTTGAAATGGGAAGCCTGATAACGCTGGTCAAATAGTCTTTGGTAAATTAACTGAGCTTCCCAGTGGATAGTGGTCTTAGGTTTTTCTGCAGGTTCTGTTTTGTCTATATCCCCTCCCCCTCCCTTTTTTTGGCTAGTATAAAAATGTTCACTGGAGACATTTTGGAAAATACAGAAAATTAAAGAAGAAGAAAAAATTAGCATTCAGAAACAACTGTTATACCATTTTGGTTTATTTTATTCTGAGCAGTCAATCTCTCTTTCTTTCTCTCTCTCTCTTTCTCTCTCTCTCTCTCTCTCTCTATATATATATATATGTATTTTTTTAATTAAATGAGGGTCATACGTAGAATATTGCTATTTTCCACCTGAAAGTTTAATGATATGAGAAAATCTTCATGATATATTCTTTAAAATACTTTAATTACAACATTGTACAAATGTGTCATAATTTAAAATATTCCATATTATTTCCAATATTTCAATACTATGAACTCTGAACATAGGTCATAAATAACTAGTGTAACAGATTGGTTAAAGGTCTGAACTCAGGAGCCAGACTACCTGGATTTGAATTTCAGCTCTAATACTTAGCCTAGGGCAAGTTACTCAGTTTCTCTGTACCTGAATTTCCATATCTATAGAGTGGAGATTAAATAGTCCCTTAGCTCCTAGGTCATTAGTAGGATTAAATTGCTTAATTTTTGTAAAGTGCTTAGCATAGTGCCTGGCACACACCTCATGCTTTATAATAGTATTATTATTATTTGCATCTTTCAATATTTCTTTAAGCTAAAGCATAGATTCTATAACCAATGTTCACTCTTCCTTTTCAGAAAACACCATCCCACGGACACAAGTAGAGAAAAGGAAAACAAGTCTATATTTTTCCAGCAAATATAACAAAGAAGGTATCCCTTTCACAATCAAAAAATCAGATTTTAAATCTATTTCAGATATCCAACTCTGATGCAGTGTGTTTGTTCAGCTCTTAGCCCCCCACGACGCAAAGCCTTTAAGAAGTGGACACCTCCTCGATCACCTTTTAATCTTGTCCAAGAAACACTTTTTCATGATCCATGGAAGCTCCTCATAGCGACTATATTTCTCAATCGGACCTCAGGTTTGTGAATTATTTTAATGTGTGCCTTAGTAGAGACAGTGTGATGAGAAAGAGCACTGAATTGATTGGGAAGCCTGTGTTCAAGTTTGATTTTGAGTCTGTGTGACCTCAGGTAAAGGCCTTCCTCTTTCATCCCTCAAACTCTTCACCCATGAGAAAGTTAGACTACTAGCCTTTGTAGCACTAAGGAGCAGATGTCCATTTATTTTTCTACTTTCAAATTAGTTTTTGATCATCAATGAAAATCAGTCACATAACATCCTTCCACCCTTAGTCATGTATAGAAGCACTTTTTTTCATTGAATACTTTGTCATTGACACCCTTCTCTATGCTTTTATACTAGTTATCTGATGATCTGATTATTTAAAAACGAATACAGGTGTGGGCAAAAGTAGGTTTACAGTTGTAATACAAATAACTAATACAACAATTAATTAATAATAATACAAGAATAAACTATTTTGTGTACCCACAACTGTAAACCTACTTTTGCCTACCCCTTATTATGTAGGTCCAGGTTTCAGCATAATCTGGACTATTAGCCAAATAGGTTGTTGGTGTTGGTTTTTTACTTTGAAGTGATTATTGGTTTAGGTAATGAATTCTAATTAATGGTTTAAAAAGACCAAAAAAAGAAAAGGTCTATATGAGATTTCTAGTTGAGGAGGTATCTGAACCTAAATTAGCCTATCTGGAGGCTTGTAATCACATTGTTATCTTTTTTTATTTCATTTACTTATTTGTTCCAGCTTTATTGAGATTTAAGTGACATATAACATTGTGTAAGTTTAAGGTTTACAATGTGATAACTTGATATGCATATATATTACAAAATGATTACCACAATAAGGTTAGTTAACACATCCTTCACCTCATATAATAACCATTTTTGTGTGTGTGGTGAGAACATTTAAGATTTACTCTCCTAGCAGTGTTCAAGTATAAAATGCAGTATTGTTAGCTATAGTCACAATGCTGTCATAGTTATCTTTACATCCCAGGTAAAATGGCAATCCCTGTGCTTTGGGAGTTTCTGGAAAAGTATCCTTCAGCTGAGGTAGCAAGAACTGCAGACTGGAGAGATGTGTCAGAACTTCTTAAACCTCTTGGTCTCTACGAACTTCGAGCAAAAACCATTATCAAGTTCTCAGGTACTTTCCCATATACCCAAAGGAAAAACATAAACGGTGCCTATTTAAGAAAGTCACACCTTAAACTTTTATGTCCACGGATGTTACATTAATAGAGGTCATTCAGCTCAAGCACCAAAGGCATTTAAAAACAGTTCACTTGCCCCAAACCACAGTCTCCCATCAACTCAAGCTATAAATCTTTGCCCAGCACTGGGTCAGGCCATGTGAGTATAATTAGAGGAAGAAGTCAGTGAAACAGAAAGCCCTCAGGACAATACCTCTTTGAGTTAGCACAAAATAATAATGGTCAGTAGGTGGCAGATGAGATGTTCAGACAAAGGTGCTTCAGGAACTCGAGAGAAAGAGCAATCCCAACTGGGGTTGTTAGGAAAGATTCTTTCCCGTCTCTTTCTGCTCTTCTCCCATCTAGCCCCCATCACCACACATTTGGGGAAAGTAACTCCTAGAGGCTCACTTGATATATGGGCTGTTGTATTCTCAGATGAATATCTTACGAAGCAGTGGAGATACCCGATTGAACTTCATGGGATTGGCAAATATGGCAATGACTCCTACAGAATTTTTTGCATCAATGAATGGAAGCAGGTGAGGTCCACTTTCAGCCAGAACATCTCCAACACATTTTGTCTCAGACAAAATAAGTCCACTATTACGGCTAAAACTTCTTGGACACATGCTATTACAGTCACAATTTTGTTCCAAGCTTAAGGGCAGTGGGTGGCATGTGGTTATTGGCAGCAGGGAGAGGATCCATACACATTCCCAAGTCCATAAAGACTTCTGGTGTGACCTCTGACTGGCCTCCAACAGTTTGTCACTTGGCCCTGTTCCTGTCATTCCATGAATATAATTTCTCTAAGCCTGATGTGGTTTTCTCTCTGTCATAATCCTACTAGTCTTCAAAAGTACACCACAGGAAAGCAGGCAGGTTTGAGCTTGGAATGCTTCTAGGGTTTCTGCTAGTAGTCTCAGACTATTTTTGTGATAAATGGGTCCTATTTCAGCTACCCATTCTTTTGAGTTTGCCTAGCACATAGGCATCTGGGTGATATCCTGGCTGCTGGGCACTGCCAGGTAGCCTGGTACACTACCTTCTTTGTGACCACGCTAAAGCATTTAGCTTTATAAACTGTAAAGTATTAATGTAAGATATAATTTGAAACATTTGTGAATCCCATTAGGTTAAAGGTTATCAAACTGTATGTTCTCCCACCATATGTTTAAAAAGCTAATTTCACAATTTTATTTCTGACTAACTTACATAAGGCCTCTTTCTAATTTCTTCCAGGTGCACCCTGAAGACCATAAGTTAAATAAATATCATGACTGGCTTTGGGAAAATCATGAAAAATTAAGTCTGTGTTAAGACTAAAGTTTTCAAACTCGTTTTTTATATACATCTCTCTGATTCTTCAGAGCTCCATTAAATCAAGCAACTACTTTTCCAGATGTATAGATTTTAATCAACCCAAATAGAAACCTAATTATATTTTCTTAATGTGTATGCCATATAGATCTTTGCTATTGAATGTGCTGTAACGTTTTGAGATTTCTTTAAAAAAAAATTGTGATTTGTCCAGCGGGTGTAGCTCAGTGGTTGAGTGTCGACCCATGCACCAAGAGGTCGCCAGTTCGATTCCCAGTCAGGACACATGCCCACATTGTGGGCCTGATCCCCAGTGGGGGGCATGCAGGAGGCAGCCAGTTGATGTTCTCTCTCATGATGTTTCTATCTCTTGCTCCCTCTCCCTTCTTCTCTCTAAAAGTCAACAAAGGAAAAAAAAAATTGTGATTTGATAACAATCCTAAAAATGTATATGACTTTTCCAATAATGAAATGTGATTTGAAGGTGAAAACAATTTTCTAAACTATCAATAATGCAAAGCAAATTTCTGTCAATCTTGCTTGAGGAAAGATTAGACTTTCTGTTCTCTTTCTATAAAAATGATACTCTGGCCCAGCTGGTGTGGCTCAGTGGTTGAGCGTCAACCCATGCACCAAGAGGTCGCCGGTTTGATTCCCGGTCAGGGTACATGCCCAGGTTGTGGGCCTACTCCCCAGTGCGGGGCATGCAGGAGGCGGCCAATCGATGTTCTCTCTCATCAGTGTTTCTATCTCTCCCTCTCCCTCTCTCTCTCTCAAAATCAATAAAGGAAAAAAAGAAACATTTTAAATGATATTATACAACTGTTATGTAGCGAAGTAATTAAAGAGCCCTGGCCTTTAATTAATTGATTAAAGCATTGTACTGATTAAAGCATTGTACTGATAATGTCAAGGTTGTGAGTTCAATCCCTGGTCAGGACACATACAAGAATCAGCCAATTGCCCAGCTGGTATGGCTCAGTGGATTGAGCATCTCATGCACCAAGACGTTGCTGGTTTGATTCCCAGTCAGGGCATGTGCCTGGGTTTCTGGCTTGACCTCTGGTAGGGGGCATGCGGGAGGCAGCAGATCAATGTTCTCAATCTCTCTCCCTCTTCCTTCTCTCTCTCAAAAAACAAACAAAAATCAATAAAAATATATTTTTAAAAAAAGAATCAGCCAATCAATGCATAGATGAGTAGAACAACAAATCAATGTTTCTTTTTTTCTGCTCCCCTTCTCTGTCTCAGATCAATTTTTTAAAAAAGTAATCAGCCCTGGCCGGTTTGGCTCAGCGGTTAGAGCGTCGGCCCACAGTCCAGAGAAACCTGGGTTCGGTTCCCGCTAAGGGCATGTACCTAGGTTGCAGTTTGTCCCTGGCCCTGGTTGGTCATGTGGGTGGCAGCCAGTCGATGTGTCCCTTTCATGTCGATGTTTCTCTCTCTCTCCCTCCCACTCTATCTGAACAAAATATGGAAAAGTGTCCTCGGGTGAGAATAAAAAAAAAATAATAAAAAAGTAATCAAATTGTTTGCAGCCAATCATGTAAAAAGATGGTACAGTAGATATTAGTTAATTTTAAAAAATATGTTTTCTAGAAAAAGTTAAACCCCCAAAGAAAAAGATTTTTTTGTCATCTGTGTTGGCTTTTAGGAATTAGAGATTTGACCCCAGCATCCATTTGATAACCTAATGTGAATATCTGCCCACAGCTCCATTTCGGAGGATCAGCTTCTCTCTCACGCATGTTGCTTTGATCCCTTTATGAAAATTCAAGCATTTACCCATCTCTCCTCTTCCAGCTGGAGGACAGCACCTTTTAAATTTTATGTCATTTTTAATACAGGTTTTATAATGTTATAGCTCAAATACTGAAATATTTGCCTATGAAAGAACTCACCAAACCAAAATAATCGTATTAAGAAGTCTCAATGACCAATCACCATTTTAAGGTATGATTTGAAAATTAAACGAGTTGAATAAGTGAAAAATAAATTGTTAAGGAAACTACCTTGTTGTAAGGTGGTGTGTGAATAGAATCAGAATGCAATGTGCTACAGGAAGTTGGTTGTTTCCATTTTAGTGAGCAAGTTTGTTTTTAGAGAAGGATGGATTTTGACAAGAGAACAGGAAAACTGGCCACACTCACCCCAAAGGCAAACATCCACTTCATAACTTCCCATAACATTTTTATTTAATAAATATCAAAGTAGTATTCACTAAGGGCAAAGCTCTGCTGGGGAGGGGTACAAAGATGAAAAGGCTCTGTAGAGACCCTCATAGAGAGAGGCACACAATAATTAAGAGGAAAAAAAGTGGTAAGGTGTGGAGACAAGATGCCTAAATACTGCAGCTAAGAGAATAGAGAGGCCTCTGAAACCCTGAGCCAAAGCTGGGGTTGGAGGTAGGGCAAGCTCTCCAAGCTTAAGGCATCAGGGTTGACTGGATGGCAGGGCCTGCTGTCAAATTCCCTCCCCCAAAATCTCCATCAGGAGTTCCACAGTCAGGCCTGGCTTTTCCCCTTTGCTGCATATGAGGTTGCCCGACCTCTGTACCTGTTTCCCAATCTCTTTAGAATGGGATAGTGGTGCCTATGATTATTAAGTTAGTACATATAAGTGCTTAAATGGAGCCGTACAGAAGAGCTACATTAATGTGGCCCATAGGGATAATCCAAGCGTCTACTTCAGGTTGTGGAGAGTGTCACAAAGATAATGCATTTCAGTAAAAGTGGTACCAATGCAGAATAAGCACTCAAAAAAGTTTTGTATTTAGACAAAATTCACAACATAAAACTCATAACCATTTTTAAGTGTACAATTCATGGTTTTTAGTACATTTACAATGTTTTGCAACCATCATCGTTAAATTGCAGAACATTACTATCACCCCAAAAAGAAACCCTGCACCTGTTAGCAGTCAAACCCAGTGACCCCACCACCACCTCCTGGAGCCTCTGGTAACCACTAATCTGCTTTCTGTGTCTAGAGACTTGCCTAGTCTGGGCATTTCTTACAAATTTAATCTCATAATATGTGGCCTTTTGTTTATGGCTTCTTAGCACAATGTGTTCAAGATTCATCTATGTTGCAGCATATATCAATACTTAATATATTTTTATGATTAAACAATATTCCATTGTATAGATAGACCACATTTAGTTTACCATTCATTAGTTAATGGGCATTTAAAATGTTCATTATAAATACTTCAGTTCTCAGATTCTGTAATTCCAAACCGTGGCACTCTGTTTTACATGGGCAAAGCATACTAAAAAATGCTGCCTCTATTTGGCAAGGACTCACGGGTTCCTACAACAGAGCCTGTTCTTTGGATGAGAACACTGAGATGGAAAAATAGAGACCTGCTGGAGATCCCATGATTTACTGGAAAACCAGGGATTTATTATTACTCCAGATTCAGGGGCTACTGGGCCAAACTAAGAAATCTTGCCTTTCGCCAAGCCAGGAACTCTCCACCACTACGATTTCCTAGCGCCCCTCCCTGGATGGGTGAAAGGATCTAATCCACGGGATCTCAGCCCCTGGCAAGCGGGCCCCCTGCCACAGCCTCCGGCGCAAGGCAGTGGTGGCATTCAGCCAATCAGCTCAGGGCATTCGTAGTCCTGGCAACAGACTGTTTCTATGCTCTGCGAGTTTCAAGTCTCGCAAAACTTAAAATTACTGTTTTTCAGGTACCTCGACTCCCCCCCCCCCCCCCCCCCCGCAAAAACAAGCAAGCACACACGCACACACGCACGCACGCGAGCGCGCCACATCTTCACCGCAACCATGGACTATTGCTATGAAAAGTTGGAGAGTCTCTTCCTGTCTCTGCACTGTCGCAGCCCGGTTAGCTCCCAGGAAGCAGCGCCGCCTCTGGGAAGCCATCAGCCCCATGCAGACACATGCAAGTGGAGTGAAGGCAAGGACGGGGTGGGGGTGGGGGGCATATCTCATTATGCCGTCCCCTCTCTGGGTGAGGGGTTGCCAGGGAGTCAGGGGCAGGTCATACACATTTCTCAGATTTCCATGCCCCGGCTGGAGGAGCGGGCCATTTTGCCTTGGCTTGGAAATCAGATGCTCAACCCTGTGTGCCTGAGAAAGGCCCAGGCTTACCCCATTTCTCCACTGAACATTAATGTGCTTGGTACCAGAGAAGAGGTATGAAGACCATCAGTCTTCAAACTTTGGGCAATAACTTGCTGTGGGACAAGTCCTTGGCAAAGCACTACAACATCAGAGGTGAAGGACAAGCAGATAAACAGAAAAGGAAGGAGTGAATGCTGGGTCTGGGGTGACATCTAGGAGTAAGAGGTCTGCTCAATTATAGAGGATGGGGAGGAACAGTTGCAAGGTCCTGCAAGAGATCTTTACATTGGAGTTTAATAAGCCAAAAAGGGAAGAAAAGGTATTCCAGGCCAAGGGAATAGCATGCACAGAGACCTGGAGACATGGTGTCTTCAGGAAACTGCTGATAGTTTGAGTATTGCTGGAGATGAGAGGCAGGAGAGGTCAGAAGGGATAAAACCATGAAAGATCTTGTGAGTCAGGAGATGGAGAAGCCACTGGGAATGGTGGGATTGGATTGAGAGCATCAGCAAATGCAGAAACTGAATTGGCAAACTCAGAATGTTGGAAGTGGGAGGTACTGGGATGTGAGGAAGAGGGGCCAGATTTGGGGGTTGATCATATGGGGAACATGGAAAGAACAATCAAAGATGATGCTCAGGCTGGTAATTGGGGGTGGCCTGGTACGTGGAGGTGCCTTTCACCGAGGACCAGATTAGGTGGGGACAGGGACATGGAGACAAGTTTAGTCTTAGTTGGTTGAGTTTGAGATCCTTGTAAGCCATCGAAGTGGAGATGCTTGAGGAGCAACTGTATGCCAAAAGTTGGAGATAATTCCAAGTCATAAATATTGGTATGCTTGTCCTTAGCATATAGAGGGCTACAGAAACATAAGATTGAAAGAGACTGATTTAAAAAAAGAAGAGAGTCCTGGCCTGCATCATTCAGTTGGTTGGAGCATCGTCCCACACACCAGAAGGTCGTGAGTGCAATTTTCGGTCAGGGCATATACCTAGGTTGCAGGTTCAATCTCCAGTTTGGGCACATATGGAAGGCAACTGATCGATGTGTCTCTTTCCTCTCTCTCTCTCTCTCTCTCTCTCTCTCTCTCTCTCTCTCCCCCTCTCCCCTCGCCCCCGCACTTCATCTCTAAAAAAAAATCAATTTTAAAAAGGCAGCAGCAGCCCAGCCAGTGTAGTTTAGTGGTTGAGCATTGACCCATGCACCAAGGTGTCGCTAGTTCAATTCCCAGTCAGGGCACATTCCCAGGTTGTGGGCCTGATCCCCAGTGGGGGGCATGCAGGAGGCGGCCAATTGATGTTCTCTCTCATCAGTGTTTATCTATCTCTCTCTCTCCTTTCCTCTCTCTAAAATCAATAAAGAAAAAATATATTTAAAAAAATAAAAAAGCAGCAGCAGAAGAAGAGAGCCTGGAGGTAACCTTGGAAGGCACCAACTTTTAAAGGGTGGGTAGGAAGAGAGGGGTCCAAAAACAAGTGGCCAGAGAAGTAGGATGAAACTTAGGGAGAGATTTAAATCAGAGCTGAGGTAAAAAGAATTAAAAATTTAAAAAGTTGAATTGTTTCCAGACACCTGAAGGGCTGTCCCAGAAAAAAAAAAAGGAACAAATATGTTTTCTGCAGCATCAGTGGAGAGGACTAGGACCAAAAGGTAGAAATTCCAGAGAAACGAATTCTGAGTCAATATAAGGAAGTCTTTTCTAGGTGGCAGAATTAGGCATCCCATTGGACACTGGGAACAAATGGGAACTAAGACACAGTCCTTGTCAAACTCACAGGCTGTTTGGAAGGAAAGACTCAGAATGCATCTTTGTCTAGAAAAATATGGGGCTAAGCACTGGGGCTGTGGGGATCCAAAGGCAAGAGGGAGGGGTTGGGAAGTCTTCGGGATGATAATGTCTGAGCTGAGTCTGGAAGGATCAGTACGAAATAATCAAGTGAAGCAGGGAGGAGAGAAGAGCATTCCTATGGGAGGAAACAGCATGGTTTTTTTGGAAAGTAGAGAGGGGGAACTGAAGAACCACAGTCAGATACAATTTGGGTATAAATACAAGGTGAGTCAAAAGGCACAAAAGGAGGAGGAATTAGAGAGGTTGGTAGGGCTGGTTGAACAGGTGGGGCCAGGTTAAAAAGACTGAACTTTATTCTGGAAGCTCGTTGGGTAGTTGGGGAAGGGTTTTAGGCAGAGGAGTTTGGGGTTTTAGAAGAAAACTGATGGTGACAATGTTTTTAATAATAATGTTATATCTTCTAAATTTTAGAACACTCTCATATCTATTATGCATTTGATCTTCATAACAGCTTCAGGAGATATCTAGAGCAGAGTTCATATCATTTTAGGCACAAAAGAATTGAAACTCAGCAGAAATCAGCGGTAGCCTGGGGTAATGGCCAAGAGCAGAGCTCTAGGGCCACGCAAACCAGAGTTCATGTCCTCGCTCTGCTGCCTATCAACTGTGTGACCTTGGGCCTCTCTGAACCTTAGTGGCCTTGTCTGTAAAATGAGTATAATCTTAGAGCCAACTGTTAGGTCTGTGCATTTGTCATTCACTCATTCACCAAATATTTACCAAACTCCCACTTGGCATTGTGGAAGTGCTGGGGCTTGAGAGGTGAGGGAGCAAAAGAGATGAGGTCCTGGTTCACAATCTATTGAAAAAACAAACATTAAACAAGTAATAAAACCAGGGGTTTCAAACACAAAGGTCTGCTTGAACCAGACACATTAATGAAAGAACTGAGCTACATGTGAGACAATAGGGAATGGCAAGCTAGAGAAGGGCGTGCCTTAGCCTAAAGTAACTCAAATTGGAAAATTTTAAAGAATGTCAAGTAAAACAGGACGCCAAACCTCATTAAGCATGAGGGCTGCCAGTTTGCAACCCTTCATTTACATACTTGTTATAAGTGATCTGAAGGGGAAGTATGGGTTGTTATGCGAAGATAACCTGAGGATATAAGAGAACCTGGGAGCTGAAGAGAGAACATTTGGTCTGAGATTTGGAGAATGAGGAGGAGTGAGGAGGGCACGGAGGGGAGAGGGAGCACTGGTGGCAGAGGGAGCAGCATGTGCAAAACCTTTAAGAAGGATGGAACTGGGATCATTCGGAGAGGTCAAGGCCTCTGGTACATAGTAAGGAAAGCTGGGCAAATTATGAGGCAGGAAAGGTTGGCAGAGGAGGGTCATGGGACTTTATTTTGGAAAATCATGGGAAGGTTTCAAAATGGGTGAAGGGTGAGTACATAAACTATGAACAAAGCAACTCCCAAATGGACTGATTCTAAACATCTCCACCACTCAGTAAGATTGGCACCACCCCCAGTTTACACATGGAGAAAATTGAGACACAGAGAGGATAAGGGATTTGCCCAAGATCATGTTGCCAGTAAGTGGCAGGGCTGAGAACCAGACTGCACCCCTCACCCTCTTAAAAAAAGAACCAGACTGCAGCCTTCTGGCCTCAAAGCCTCTGCTCTTAACAGTGCTATGCTGCGTTGGATGACAGAATATATAAGAATGGCATTTTTAAAAGATCACTGATTGCCAATTAGTAGTACTGGTGTGGGTGGAGTAAGAGTGGAATTTGAAATGATTAAGTAAGAGAAAGATCATAAATCCCTTAGCATAGTGCTTGCTGTCGGGAGTACCCAGTCACATCAGATGTAATTATCGTCATCATTATAGGAAGGCAATGATAAAGCTGGGCCTGGAACCCACGTGCCCAGGTGCCCACCCTGGTGCTAAAGCGTTTTTCCTTCCTGACTTCTTTAGTCCTCTTCCTGAAAGGAACTCACTTTTTAACGCTCTTCCCCCAAGGGCTCTACCAGTCTACGTCCTCGACTGATGATGAAAATGCCAGCAGGGATCCTGTCTTCAACCCTGAACTGGTCATTGCCCACTGCTTCAAGCAGTTCAAGCAGAAGGACTTCCACCTGCCTCAAAGCCGCCGGCGGATCATCATCTCGCCTCAAAAGGATGATCCAACCCCTGTCAATCCAACATTGCAGCCCCAGGCTCTCCCACAACTCATCCCCAACTTCAAAGCCCTGGAAGCCGGGGACATCCAAGAGCCACCAGAAGATTCGAGAACCTGGCTGAGCCGGAGGTTGAAGTTTCGGCAGGAACTGGAGTCAATTGGCAACATAGACAGGTGGCTGCGGAACAAGTCCAGCCACACGCCTTCTGAGGCCAAGGTCTTACACATGCTCCGCAAGGAGCATGAGGACCAGTTGATGGTCCACCTGACCACTACCAGAGCCACCAGTGTGAGTAGCCCCATTTGCCAGATGAGGGTGTTAAAGGCAGGACGGGGATCATTCACCCCATTTCACAGAGCAGCAAACAGAAGTCCTTTAGGAGTTCTATAGCTATCTATTGCTGGATAACAAATATCCCAAAATGACTTAGAGCAGCAAGTGCTTATTGTCTCACTGTTTCTGCGAGTCAGGAGTTTGGGAAGAGCTTCGCTCAGTGGCTCTCACTCAGAGTCTTTTTACCTCAAGACATCTGAAAGCTTGACTTGGGTGGGAGGATCTGCTTCCAAGCGGTTCACTCACATGGCTGTTGGCAGGACCCCTCAGCTCCTAGCCACGTGGACCTCTCCATAGCGCTGCTTGAATGTCCTCACCACATGGCAGCCAGCTTCCCCTAGAGTGAATGGTCCAAGAGAGAACAGGAAGGAGGCTGCAGTGCCTTCTCTAACCCGTTTCAGGAGGTCTCGGTTTCAGAAGCTTCACACTATTACCTCCACTATATTCTATTTGTCAGAAAAAAGTCGCTAAGTATCGCCTACACTGAGGGGAGGGGAGTTAGTCTCGAGCTTAGAGGGAAGGAGAGTTGACGAATTTGTGGCTATATCTTAAAACCACCCTAGAAGGGAGAATGACTAGAGTTTGCTACAGGCCATGAATAAATGTAGGTCCCCACCCTCCAGGAGCACAGAGGGGCTGTAAGCTAGGGACCAGGAAGGTCCTTTGTAAACTGTTAAGTGCTGCATCAGGGTAGGGGAGTGTTATTTCTAAACTGGAGGAGGAGTAGGATTTGGACAGGTAGAGAAAGAAGAAATGGTATTTTAGGCAGAAGTCCCAGCTGGAGCCAAGGTTAGGAGGTGGGAGGAGTGAGGACCCCTATGTGGCTCCAGGCAGGGGCATGTATTTTGGTGCACGGAGAGTCCAGTGAGATTATAGTACTGACTGGTCTGATAAGAGACATGTGGATAAGAATGAAATTTTAGTTTTCATATTGTTCAAGCCTCTTGTTTCTGATGGGAAATGGAGGCCAAGCAAAGCAAAGCCTCCCAGGAGTTTTGTGGCAGAATGCAGTTGTCCTGTGGTTGCCTGAATCCAGTGTTCTATGCACTTCACCTTGCTGTTTGTTCAGAGCTGCTCAGCCTCTCTCTCCCATTTCTAACTCTGGGGTCATGTTCTATCGGTCTGACTCCCCTGAACTCTCCCTTCTGCCCCATTCACTTGCCTCTTTCAGAAGAAAAACCTCCGACCCATTCACCAACCAGTGCCCCAGCTCCAACTGCCCAAGCCCTCTGCCTTGTTGGCCTTATACACTTACCTGCGCAGCCACAAGATCAAGATCCTGGAGCTATTTAACAAGATAGACTGTAGCAAGAACCACAGGATCTCCAGGGAGAAGTTCATTATGGCTCTGAAGATGGTAAGTAGGCTGGCCTGAGTGGGGAGAGTACCCATGCCATCAGCCAGGTCCTGGTCCAATTTAAAAAAAGACTCAGGCCCAGCTGGTGTGGCTCAGTGGATTGAGCATTGTCTCATGGACTGAGAGGTCCCGGTTCAATTCCCAGTCAGGGCATTTGCCTGAGCTTTGGGCTCGATCCTCAGTAGGGGACGTGCAGGAGGCAGCCAATTGATGTTTCTGACTCACATTGTTTCTATTTCTCTCTAAAAAAAAAACAAAAAACAAAATAAAACCCACAATAAAAACATATTTAAAAAAGAAAAGGAGACTCAGGGAACTCAAACTATCAGTCTTATCGCTTGTAAAGTAAGGCAGGAAAATGTGACTTGACTTGTGTCCACATCAGACCCCTAAAACCTCCCCTGCACTGGTCTGACCTTGAAAGTCTGAATGGAAAGTATGCAGACCTGACCTCATAACCAGCCAGCTGCCCATCAGACCTCAGAACTGAGCACTGTGATTGCTGGGCCTTCAGTCCTGCCTCTAGAACCTTCTAGAGCTTCTCCTTCTCCAACTGTCACTGGCATATAAATCACATAGAGGTTTTATGAAAATGCAGTTTCTGACTCAATATCTCTGTGCAGGTCCCAGTGATGGCCATGATACTGGTCCATGGACAGTGCTTTCATTGGCTATTCAAAATGTAAATTAGCCCGGCGGGTGTTACTCAGCGGTTAGAACGCCGGCCTGCGGTCCAGAGAGACCTGGGTTCGGTTCCCGCTAAGAGCACATACCTCGGTTGCAGTTTGTCCCCGGCCCTGGTTGGGTCGTGCAGGTGGCAGCCACTCGATGTGTCCCTTTCATGTCGATGTTTCTCTCTCTCTCTCTCTCTCCCTCCCATTCTACCTGAACAAAAAATGGAAAAATGTCCTCAGGTGAGGATAAAAAAAAAAAGTAAATTAGCCCAGCAGGTGTGGTTCAGTGGTTGAGCATCAACCCATGCACCAAGAGGTCACCAGTTTGATTCCTGGTCAGGGCACATGCCCAGGTTGTGGGCCTGATGATCCCCAGTGGGGGGCATGTAGGAGGTGGCCAGTTGATGTTCTCTTTCTCATCGATGTTTCTCTCTCTCTCTCCCTCTCTCTTCCTCTCTCTCTAAAAATCAATAAAGAAAACAAAAACAAACAAAAATTTTTAAAAAACAAAATGTAAATTAAATATAAATAAATACAATAAACAATCCAGTTTCTTAGTCACACCAGCCACATTTTGAGTTCTCAGTAGTCACCTGTGGTAAGGACAGTTCCTCCATTGGATCCCACAGATTGAGAATGTTTTCATCATTATAGAATATTCTGTTGGTCTTGCATGGGTCTGCAAACTATTGCCCGCCCGGGAATCAAACCCAGACTGCTTCCTGTTTTTGTCAATGAAGTTCTATTGGAACACAGCCATATTCATTCATCTATGGATTGTCAGGGCTGCTTTCAATATGTTTTTATTGATTTCAGAGAGAGGAAGGGAGAGAGAGATAGAAACATCGGTATGAGAGAGATACATTGATTGGCTGCCTCCTGCATGCCCCCTATGGGGGATCGGCCCCAAAACCCGGGCATGTGCCGTGACCGGGAATTGAACCAGGACCTCTCAGTCAATGGGACAACACTCAATCCACTAAGCCTCACCTGCTGGGCTAAAACATATTTTTTTAAAAATGTTTTTTTTAATCCTCACCCGAGGATATTTTTTCATTTATTTTCAGACAGAGTGGGAGGGAGAGAGAGAGAGAGAAACATTGATGTGAGAGAGATACATTGACTGGTTGCCTCCCGCATGACCCTGACCAGGGCTGGGGACAAAACTTCAACCAAGGCACTTGCCCTTGACCAGAATTGAACCTGCAACTCTTTGGTCTGAGGACCGATGCTCTGACTGTTGAGCCAAACTGGCCAGGACTAAAAACATATTTTTAAAAAAGTAAATAAATACACCCAAATTAAAATAATCATAATCATAATCATAATCATAATCGCCCTGGCCAGTTTGGCTCAGCAGTTGTGTGTCGGCCTGTGGACCAGAAAGTCCTGGGTTCGGTTCCTGCGAGGGGCACATACCACGGGGAAAAAAAAGAAGAATTCTAGGAAGCTGACTCTTTTTATGTTTTTTTTTTAATTTATTTTTTTGCATTTATCTTCAGATAGAGCAGGAGAGAGAGAGAGGGAGGAAGAGAAGGAGAGAAACATCCACGCGGGAGAGACACATTGAATGGTTGCCACCCACACCCCCCAACCCCCAATCTGGGCCAGGGACAAACTATAACCAAGGTATTGTAACCGAGGTACATGCCCTTAGCGGGAACCGAACACAGGACTCTCTGGTCCAAAGGCTGACGCTCTTTAACTGCTGAGCCAAACCGGCCAGGGCCTTTTTATGGTTTTAAATCACCGGTTTTCACATCATCACTTTATGTCATGTATTTACCTGAACAACATTTCAAAGCATTAAAAACAACAAAAAGATAACCAAGAAGATAAAACATTAAATCCTTTCATACCTGGAGAGTTCTGATCTTCTTTAAAGAAAGCTCAATAACAATGACTGCTATCTAAAGGAGCTATAGAACAAACTCCTATTTCCTTTAAAGCTTTTCTTCTTGAATATTTGATATAGCTGGCAAGCATTATACTCCTCCAAAGTTGCTCAGTCCTTAAAAGAATAACATGTATTTCTGATCCTATTTTCCTTCAGTTAAGGGAGACTATGTGTCCCTCATAGGCAAGGATGATAGACATATGAAATCCTTCTTCAAATCCATCATGGGAAAGCTGGCATTGCAATTGATATGCAGTAAGGTGGGAGCCCAGAGTACGAAGTAACAGTCTCTGATGATGCTATATCTGGACTGGGTTTTGAAGGAGGAATAGGAGTTTTTCAGGTACTGAAAAGGAAACATCTGAGTAATGGCGGAGGGTAAGAAAGTGCAGGGTGTCTTTGGAGCCAGGAAAGGGCTCTGAGCTCCTGTGGCAAGGACCTTGAATGTGAGCTGGGAATGGCTGTGGATAAAACCAGACTGAAAGATTGGGCCAGGCTGACAAGGCCTTGGCTATCCTGGTAGGAAGTTTGAATTGGAGCCTGTCCACTTTGGGGCTTCTCTTCTCTCTTCAGGTTAGAGTCCCTTTGGGAAACCAGGAGATAGAGGATATTGTGATCTATCTCAGTTCTCTGGGGAAGCACAACAGCATCACCATTGATAGCCTGGTCAACACCTACAAGCAGTGGTCTTTGGCCCAGCAGAGAAGCATGCTGCCAACCTCAAGGGATTGTACGTATCTACCTCCACCCCAGTCTTGGAGCAAGTATGGTAGAGGCTGTCTTGGCTTATTTCCTGAGTGTATTCTCCAGCTTTGGCTTATTGTCCATAGGACAAGCCTCTGGAATTTTCAGACCCAGAGATCAACTAGGAAGAAGATATTTTCTGGAGTACCAGGTTACCTTGCCCATTAAAAGCTAGATGAGGCCCAGCCCTTATCCTTAAAGGATGATCCTCAAAGGGTGGTTTCAGCCTGCCAAAGCCCACTTGATTAGCTGAGAACCCAAATGCCAAGCCTTTCTATTTGTACGTGGGTCCAAGGCCTTCTGACTGCTAATCTGCACCTTATTAATAAAAAGTTAACTAAAATTCAGAAACCAGAATTAGCACATGTTTAGAGTTTGCTGGAAAGTCTACTTTGGTATTCTACTGTCAGCAGTATTAATAGGCTGCTGTGATCAGTTGCACAGTTCAAGTTCCACTTGCCAAGCCACGTGCTTCTGGAAACACATCTATCCAGACAAAGCACAGAGGCAACTTAGAAATATACTTGGCATAGCTCTGGATATGAATTTACAACACAAGGTGCATTGTTATTCTTTATAGTTTATTTGTTGTAAAAAAAAACACACAACAACAACATTGAACAACTACAGATAATATTAAAGCCCTCCTTTAACCACCACCCACCATTCCAGAGACCTCCCCAAATATAAACACACCTTTCTTTTTCTAAATGAAGCAAATCTTGCTTTGCCCCTACTTGCTGAGTTGGTAGGGATTTAATTTCAGGCATATTTGGGGGGGAGGAGCTCCTTGTCCTCCCTAAGATTATGTAAGAACCCTAGGTGGGGGTAGTGGAAGTGGTGCTTTACCTAGGTAAAGATTTGGGGCAGGGCCTCTGGAGTTCCCAGTCACTGAGCTGGGTGCTCCGCCCTCACTGATTGGTTCTTTTGGGGTCAGCAGGCAGCTCCTTCAGAGCATCCATTCCTCAGTCCTCCAGAACTTCACTCACAGGGCCGCATGCAGATTTATGACCTCTAGTTTCAACAAGCCACTCCCAGGCAGGGTCTCTGTTCTCTCAGGGTCCTAGTAGTAATCTCCTGCACCCTTCCTGTCCAGCATATCCTCAGGGTCACCTTGACTTGGGCATGCTTTCCAACCCTTGCCCTTTTGGCCTTTTCATTATAAATCACCAAAGCTAATTGTTATTCATGTAGTTGGCTGCAAGTCATTGAATGAATGACCACAGCGTGCGATGCATATCTGCAGCAAAGGTATTTGGGGGTCTATTATTCCCCAATAAATAGACTTGAAGCCAAGCAACAGATATTTGTTTAAATGGTGCTGTCACACCTGTCATAGCTGAGTTCTTTTTCCCTGGAGAGCCGCAGTAAGTAGGGTAATCAGACTTCAGAGTCTCTTGCCTTACCTAAAGGGGCACCATTGTCAAGAGTCTGGGTGCCTGACTCACAAGAGATAAGCCTTTAGGGGCATCCTCTGTAGGATGGGTAGCTTAACCCATAGCATTAGCTCAATTTATCCATCACATCCTCAGATGTCAGGGCTGCTGTTCATGCTTTTCAAGGAGGAAGCTGAAGCCCAGAGAGGTTGGCCCTCCTGTCCACTGTTTCAAAACCAGAAGGTGGCAGAGCCTGGGTTTCACTTCAACCAGAGACAATGCAGGCCCGAACCAGGCCAGAGACAATGGGATGCTGTCATTCACTTGGATCTCTTTTGAGCACCTACTATGTGCCAGATGCTTCTAGGAACTGGGAATACAGCAGTGAAAAAGCCAACACCCCTGCCTTCCATGACTTTTCATGGAAAAGGTTAACCACGAGGGGGATTATCAGCTGACGTTAGATCCTACAGGGTCTTGCAGACCAGGGAGAGGATTCTGGGTTTTAGACTAAGTACTGTAGGAAGCCAGGAGAGAGTTCTAAGCAGGGGAATAAAGTGATGTGGTTTATATCTTTTTTAAAATATGTTTTTAAAAATTGAGTTTTAGAAAGAGGGGAAGAGAGAGATAGAAACACTGATGTGAGAGAGATACATCGATTGTCTGCCTCCTGCATGCTCCCTACTGGGGATTAAGCCCCCAACCTGGGCGTGTGCCCTAACCAGGAATCAAACTGGGACCGCTTGGTCCATGGGACAGTGTTCAATCCACTGAGCCAGACCGGTTGGGCTGGTTTATATATTTTAAAGGTCCTGTTTGCTGTTTGGTGAAAACAGAATGCTAGAGGATGAGAACAGTCACAGGAAGGCTAAGGCCGTGGTGCAGGTGAGGGAGGAGGCACCTTGTACCAGGGAGGCCGTAGTGGAGATGGAAAGAAGGGACACCTTCAAGGTGCATCTCAGATGGCACTGACTGGACACATGGGATATGAGCAGAGGGATGGCCTAGTGCTTGCTTGGTGACATTTGTTAACTGCTTGACAGATTCCATGGCTGGACACGCTCTCAGTCCCTCCTTCCTTTGTCTCTTCTTTCCAACCCCAGATTATAGGTCTTCCATGAACAGAGTTTTCCCACAGAGTCTGTCCAAGACGCAGGTGAATTTAGCCCCACAGCCTCCCAAGATAGACCTGCTGACTGTGCCTGAGGTTGACACCCAGATGGAGGCAAGGCCCTTGACCCTGGAAGAGATGGAGGACGTTGGCAAGCAGTACCGCGAGAAGAAACGGCAGAGCAAGGTACTCCCACCAAAGGGGGAGGGCACAGGGCAAATCCACTGCACCTGTACCACCTTCTAGCTGGGGGAACTCTTGGGAGCAGGTGCTTTACGTCTCTGAGCCCTCATCTGTTCTCTCATCTGGATAATAAGAACAATACCTATCTCACAAGGTTTCAGTGAAGATGAAATGAAATAATGTTTCTGAATGTATCAGGTTTCCCTCCTCCCATTCTTTAATTATGACTTTGCATCCTGAGAGCAGGGCTTCGTCTTCATCACAGTGGGAACCCAAGAGCCTGGCATGGGGCATGGCACTGAGTAGGCACTCCAGAAATACATGACCAGTAATGGAAGGAAGAATTAATTGCTTGAATTAATTCATCCATTAAGTATTTATCGAGAGCTTGTGATGTACCAGGAACTCTTCTAAGTACTGCAGACAGCAAAACAGTGCCCACCCCCAAGAAGTTGCCGGTCTAGAGAGTCTAGCCAGGGATGCAGACAATATTAATATAATACTACATATAGGTACATATTTTAATGTCATATATAATAAAATGTTAGGTATTGGTAAGTGCTATACCAAGTAAGATCTGCTTCAGTTACATAACAAGAAAACCTAAAATGTTAGAGCAGTGAGTGGCAAACTTTCCCAGTCAAGGGCCAGATAATAAATGTTTTAGGCTTTTTGGGCCCTTTTGTCTCTGTAGCAACTAGTTGGCTCTGCCATTGGAGCACAAGAGCAGCCACAGACAACAGCTAAACAAATGAGTGCAGCTGTGTTTCAATAAAACTTTATTTATAAAAACAGGTGGCAGGCCAGATTTGGCTTATACACTGTACTTTACTGATTCTGGCTTTAGAGGTTTTAAAAAGATAGAATTTTCTTTCCTTGTATTTAAATAAATAAGAAGAACAAATGTGGTTACACACTGCCCAGGCCTCTTCTCCCTCACTCTGCCATCCTTAACGCATGGTTTCCTCCTCAAAGTCATAGATGGCTGCACCTAATGTAAATTCTCATGCAGCCAAATACTCGAATGTAATGTTTCCATAGGACACATGTGGGGCATTTACACTGTACCTTACTGTATATATTATACAATCATGTATATATTATACATCTGTATACAGGGCTGTGCACACAGAACCACATGCGCTGACCATTCAAGTGCTCTGTAAAGGTAACCTTGACTGCCTTGGCCAGTTAGGCTCAGTGATTAGAGAGTATCGGCCCGTGGACCAGAGAGTCCCGAGTTCAGTTCCCGCTAAGGGCACGTACCTCGGGTGCAGTTTGTCTCCGGCTCTGGTTGAGGTTGTGTGGGTGGCAACTACTCGATGTGTCTCTCTCACATCGATGTTTCTCTCTCTCTCTTGCTTCCTCTCTCCCTCCTGCTCTATTTGAAGATAAATGCAAAAATGTCCTCGGGTGAGGATTAAAAAAAAGGTAACCTTGACCATGTGTGATATTTCTCCTGAGCCACTGACTTCAAAACCTGAATTTGGGCCCCACTGTGCATTCTTTGCCATTGCCCCTCATGGGGACCTTGTGGAGAACAGTAGGTTGTCAGCCTTCAAACCAGGAGGAAAGAGGCAAGGTGAAGGAAAGTGTGTGCGAATTGCTGTTCTCTTTGCAGCTCGACATCCCCTCCATCCAGTACACGGAGAAGTGTCGCCTGGTGCGCAGTGGGAATAAGCATTTTGATGACCATTGCCTCCCATCCACCATCCGTGGGGAGATGAACGAGGTCATCGACATGTTCCGCAGGAACACCTTTCTGGTCTACCTGCAGTGCCAGAAGCTCTGTGAGTACCATGGCCTCCCGCTGACAGAGGACATCCTTATAAAAGGTAAGGAGTTTTGGTGGCTGGCCCCAGAAAAATGCCTCATATGTCCAAATGAGGTTTGTCCTTCCCCAGCTGACATGCACCCAGCCAAGCTGCTGTAGCTTGTGGTGGGAACATTGGGAAGAAGGAGAGGGAGGAGGGAAAAAATAATCAAGCCTATTTTGCTGTTTAGATGGGAGTTTTAGGATCCTCTTCAGTGGTTCTCAACCTTCCTAATGCCTCAACCCTTTAATACAGTTCCTCATGTTGTGGTGACCCCCAACCATAAAATTATTTTCATTGCTACTTCATAACTGTAATTTTGCTACTGTTTTGTCTTAGGTGACCCCTGTGAAAGGGTCGTTCGACCCCCAAAGGGGTCACGACCCACAGGTTGAGAACCGCTGCTCTAGATCCTAAGTTCCACAGGCCTGGAGGTCTGGGTTTCCCAACTGCGCTTGTAAGCTGGCATTCTAAAGCAGGAGCTCCAAGGACAGGAGTTCTAGGCAAGGGAGCCCTGCAGTTGAGCATAAAGAAACAATCCCAATTCCAAAGAGGGAGATTTTAAAGAAATGACAACTGCTATGCTGTATTAGGCATTTCCAAAACTGCTTCCCTAGGCCAGCCCTGTTTTTTGGTTCTTCTGCAACACTGAGGTAGGAATGCACCAGGAATCGGGTTCTGCTGAGGTCCTTTGCTCTCTGCTCACACAGCAGGACTCAGTGCTGAGGTTTCCACAGTGGTTCCACTCTCTGCTTGGGGGAAGAATTGTGTTTACATCCAAAAGACTTGAACCCCCCACATCACTGGGTAGAATGTGTGCTTCTGAGAGATGGGGGCAGGAAGTGCCCCCATATTTCCCTGATGACCACAGAGCATTGCTGGCATCCCAAATTGATGAATTTATAAATTTAATGGGCAGATTTCTCTCTGTTCTTAAAAAACATGAATAGCAAGCTGCACTAGGGCAGAGGTTTCCCCATAAACTTCACAGAAGCTGTGGCCATACTGGAAAATTAGTTTTTCTGAGAAAGGGCACACAGAGAATGGTGTGGCTTACCCCAAAACAGGAGTTAACAGTCATGCCCTGGCCAGATAGTTCAGTTGGTTAGAGCATTGTTCCCATTTGCCAAAGTTGTGGGTTTGATCCTCGGTCAGGGCAGGTCAATGTCTCTCCCTCTCATTAAAATCAATAAATTATTTTTTTAAAAGAGAATGAAAATGATGCTACAAAAAAGAGTTAACAGTCACAATTGATTATTTTCCTCTTCTCCCAAGTGGGAGGCAAACAAGTGCTAGATGTATAAGACCTAGGGTCTTGTATTAGTTTGCTAGAACTGCCATAACAAAATGCCTCAGACTGGGTGGCTTAAACAACAGAAAATTTATTTTCTCACATTTCCAGAGGCCAGAAGTCCAATATCAAGGTCCCAGCAGGATTAGTTTCCTCTGAGGCCTCAATCCTGTGCTCAGATGGCTGCCTCCTCACATGGTCTTTTCTCTGTGCACACCCCCTCTGTGTCTCTCTGAGTGTCCAAATTTCCTCTTATAAGGACTAGTCAGATTGGATTTGGATCCACCCTAACAGCCTCATTTTAGCTTCATCACTTCTTGAAAGGCCCTACCTCCAAATACAAATTCTGAGGTTGTAGGAGTTAGGGCTTAACATCTGAATTGGAAGTGGGGGACACAGTTCAGTCCATAACAGGTCTATCCAGGAGGATATGACCAAGGCCCTTCAGGGATAAACCAACCTAAGTGGTCATTGTCACCTGCACATGCTGCACATCCTTGCTCGGTGGCCACTTGCTGCCTACCTGGGCTGGGAGGACAGAGACAAGAGATCCTGCAGCTCTGGCACTGACTTTTCACCAAATTATCCTTCCTTCCTTCTCCCTCCTTCCTACTGTCTTCCCTGATCTTTACATCCCCTCATTTAAGCGAGTGGTGGAGGTGCAGCTATCTTCTGAAATGTAGGCAGGCTTGCCACGTACCCTCGACCACTATTGTGGGTCAGGTCTTTCTTCCGGTTGTGGATTCTTTGTCCCTGCCAGAACATCAGCAACTCCTGGTTGTCTCCACTGCTGGCTTTTGCCAGTTCCTGGATCTGTGAGTTTCCCCTGTGGCCAGGATCTCACATTCATGGGCACACAGGAGCGTCCATGGGTGGGCTTCCTTTTGCCTCTGATTGGCCTAGATAGAAAGGACTCTATTCTATCTGTGACTAGAGTCCCTGTGGCCTGTGGTGGGAACACTGGGAGGAAGGAAGGCGAGGAGGGGAAGAACAGCTCAGCCTGTTTTGCTGTTAGATGGGATTTCTAGAATACCCGAGGTGCACAAGTTCCACTGTCCTGGCCACTATCTGTTGGCTGTCTTTATGACAGAGGCCTGCTCTGCCACAGACAAAGAAGCACAGGCATCACGACTTCCAAGTCTGTTTTCTAGACTAGAACTTGGTGAGCTCAGACTCCAGTTCTCAAGTTCATGAGCCAGAATTCTGGAACATTGAGGCATTTCCCCTCTCCCCAGTGAATATAGTTCATTATTTCTCTCTTCCCATTTTATAGATAATACTTGCTCACTTAAATTTTTCTGAAAACATAAAAGTAAAAAGCCCTCTCCAGCCTGAGTTGACCACCATTAATATGTTAATAACTGTCCTTTCACAAACCTATTTTTCTTTTCCAGTTATACAAAATTATGTATGTAAATCATTCTCAAAAATCATGTATACAGCCCTGGCCGGTTTGGCTCAGCGGTTAGAGCGTCGGCCTGCGGTCCTGAGAGACCCGGGTTCAGTTCCCGCTGAGGGTGCGTACCTCGGTTGCAGTTTGTCCCCGGCCCTGGTTGGTCGTGCGGGTGGCAGCCACTCGATGTGTTCCTTTCACGTCGATGTTTCTCTCTCTCTCTCTGTTCCTCTCTCTCACTCCCACTCTACCTGAACAAAATATGGAAAAATGTCCTCGGGTGAGGATAAAAAAAAAAAATTATTAAAAAAAAAAATCATGTATAAATATATATTTTTTAAATTATTACTATTTTTTTATTGATTTTAGATAGAGAGGAAGGGAGAGGGAGAGAGAGATAGAAACATCCATGAGCAAGAACATCGATTGGCCACCTCCGACATACCCCCTACTGAGGATTTGGCCCACAGCCTGGGCATGTGCCCTGACTGGGAATCAAACCAGTGACCTCCTGGTGCATGGGTCGATGCTCAACCACTGAGCACACCGGCTAGGCTATATATATGTATATATTTTTTAACATATTTTGTAAAATTCTACATACTTTTTAAATTGTTGATGCTACAGATCCCCTTCCCTCTTCTCCTTTCTCACCTGCACAATCCCTGCCCTGCCCACAAATAACCCACATTAATAACCAGGTGTGTAACCTTCCACCAGTTTTTCTAGATATGAGCTTTTCAGGTGTTACCATTATGATTATTATCATTGATTTTAGAGTCAGAGAGGAAGGGAAGGAGAGAGAGAGAGAGAGAGAGAGAGAGAGAGAGAGAGAGAGAGAGAGAGAGAAACATTGATTTGTTGTTCCACTTATTTATGCATTCATTGGTTGCTTCTTATATGTGCCCTGACCAGAGATCAAACCCACAATCTTGTCATATCAGGATATGCTCTAAGTAACTGAGCTATCAAGCCAGGGCCCCAGGCATTACCATGTTAGGACAAGCACTGCTCCATAGTCGCAGAAAGATGGAGACCCTGGCCCAGAGATTTTTATGTACTGCACTTAGAAAAGTCTCTCAAGGTTATCTGTGAGACTAATTCTAGGCGAGGAGAAAACTGCCATCAACTAGGTCAAAGTTAACCTAGTGAAGTCTCAGGTATATCCTCCACACCTCCTCCTGGGACTCCTGACCAGGATACCCCCTGCAGAGTGGAGTGTGGGACCTCATGTTCCATCCTAATTGCACCCTAGCCCTGGGACCACTGCTAACCTGGTTATAAACAAGCTCCCTTGTCTCTAGTCCGGTTAGCAGTATTCTACCAACTCCATTTCCTGATATTGCACTACAATCATAGGCATGCCTTGGAGATATTGCTTGTTGAGTTCCAGACCACCATAATTGGAAGCAAGTATCCCAATAAATCAAGTTGTAATCTTTTTACTGGTAGAGGGTTTTGATTTCCACTTGTAAAAAAAAGTACCATCTGGCCCTGGCCGGTTTTGCTCAGTGGTTAGAGTGTCGGCTCACAGACCAGAGAGATCTGGGTTCGATTCCCACTAAGGGCCTGTACCTCAGTTGCAGTTTGTCCCCTGCCCTGGTTGGGGTTGTGTGGGTGGCAACCGCTTGATGTATCTCTCTCACATCGATGTTTCTCTCTCTCTCTTCCTCCCTCTCTCCCCCCTGCTCTATCTGAAATGCAAAAATGTCCTTGGGTGAGGATTAAAAATAAAAAAAATGGGCTGATTCCGAAGACTCTGTCACAGGGGTGTTCGGAATCAGATGCCAGCCGGCTAATAAACGGCTCGTATTTGGACATCAAAAAAAAAAAAAAAGTACCATCTGTAATAAAATGAAGTGCAATAAAACAAAGTATGCCATGTCATGGTTGGGGGAAGCTGGGGAAGGGTCTAAGGGACCCTTTGCACTTTTTTTTGCAACTTATTTTCAATCTACAATCATGTTTCTCTCTCTTCCCCCTCTCTCCCTCCTGCTCTATCTGAAGATAAATGCAAAAATGTCCTCCGGTGAGGACAAACAACTAAAAGCACACAAATATTTCAAAAAAAGAAAAAGAAAATCTTTTTAAACAAAAATGTGACTTTATTACTATTTTTTAAAGCCCTCCTCTGCCCTCTGCCCTAAAGCCTGGGATGGGAGGAGGCGTGTCTTGGGCTGACCATGTTTCTGTTGCTGTTCACAGCCCTGCTGTACCCGGGGGACAAGATCATTTTCCAGAAAAACAAGGTGCGCCCAATCCGGCAGCCAGGAGGCTACTACTCGGACTTTGTCTTCAGCCCAACTCCAGCCCAGCTCAGGTCCCTGGGCTTCAAAGGGCCTGAGGATAAGAAGACTGACAAGCTGAGTATCAGATCCCTTACCCCTTTCCCTTTGCCTCCTGCCCTGCTGCTGTTTTTCAGCTCCAGAAGCTGGGGTGCTGACAGGCTTGATGGTCAGTCCCAGTGTCACCCCTGGCACGTGGCTGAGGTCCTTAGCCACCTTGCCTCACTCCTACACAGCTACCCTCCTGACCACATGCTACATGATTTCAAGTTCTCTGGAAAAGATTAAAAAGAGAGCCTTCTTAGAGAATCGGAAGGCCCCTTCACCAGTTATGAACCCAGTGTCAAGGGCGCTGCAGAACCCAGGGGGCAGCCCCTTCCCCTGTCCCCACCTTCTCTGGCAAGAAGAGGGCTTGCAGCTCCTGGGGGGAGGAGAGAACTCTGCACTGGGTACTATCTCCGATTCTCAGGTCAATGAGTCCTCTCTAAGAAAATGTCTTTCTTGATCCTCTGGGAGCATGCCCATGCCTTTCTTCCCTCTCAGGCTTGCTTCCCTCTCCTAAACTCTAAGGGTCACATGAGACTCGCAACCAGGGAAGCAATGGTTATTTGGTAGTTCTTCCCGGGCTAATGCCCTGAACCTGTCTCTAAGGCCCCCTTTTCTCTGACTTTCTAGTGTTTCACTATCCCAGCTTTAATAAACTCTCAAACAATTTTAAAAATGTCTTTCTTTGGAAGGAGGTGAAACATGGGTAGGTGATGAGCTAGCATCCATGGGTGACTCAGGTTGGAGAACAAGCACATCCCGCAGAGGAATGGGACCAGCATGGGAGGAGCAGGCAGCTGACTGGATACCATGAGGAGGGACAGATGACTGGATATCATGAGGACCTGCCCATATTCTAGATCCCTGTTAGCTGCCTCCTGGGGTGGTATGGCCAGCAGGGCTTGGATGGAATGCAGCAGAGCTGAGTGGAGATCAGATAAGCTGTGGATCAAATGGACAAGTTACTTTACTTCGCGTGTAAAATGAACATAACAGTTCCTACCATATACAATGAGGACAGGAGAAGAAACTCGTGTAAACTTCTTAGCGTGGTGTTTGGCAGATAGTTGATACTTAAGCAATAATTATTGTTGTCAGGATGTTTTCAAATGCAGAAGTGGCCTTTGCCTGCAGGTGGGGCCTGCAACTCTGGGAAGAACTGAGCATAAGCCAGGCAGGTAGTAGCCTAGAGAGCCCTTTCTGATCCCTTAGTGACTGCCTTCCAGCCCCTGGATGGCTGGCACTAATTCCTGAACCACGAACCTAGGAAGTGGGTGGGAACCTGAGAAAGGGACTCTTGTCCATGCTTAAGTGGTCCACAGGTATAAAAGATAAAGAGAAGTCACCTAGGGCAGGGATGGACATTGGTTTCATGTTGCTACTTAGACTGTGTTGTGTAAGATTCAAAGGCAAAGACAGGCTTTCTGGGAAATAGTGTTGTGGTTGATTAGCAATGTCTGCCATGCCCAAGGTTTGGAGAATTAGTTTTTACCCTCCTTATCTCCAAGGCTGGATTCAGCCTTGGCAAGGGAAGTGGAAGCCAGGGGCCAAGAAATAATTCAGATTATTAAGCATCTCTCATAACTAACCACGGGACCCAACATCATTCAGATTATTATTACAATCAGATGTGTGAAGATTGTAATAACTTTCATAACTAATCTTCATTCTGGGAAATTAGACTCTGAAAGGGGAAGTAACTTGGCCAAAGTCACCCAGCCAGCCAGGTTATGAGCCCACGTCCAGCTAACCCAAGCCCACTATATGTTCCACTGAAGCATTTGAGGACAAAGCCAGAAAAAAATTCTCTTTTCAAAGCTCTGGTTTGGACTCAGAGATGGGCCCATCCCTGAGGCCCCCAACCTACTCTCTGAGATCCCATCATCCTGGATTTCCCCTCTCCTGACAAGATACCTCTCTCACTTATCCACTAGAAAACGGCAAAAGAAAATACACTTTAAGGAGTTTGAAGAATTCACCAGGTCTGTACCAATCATCTAACTCTGGTAGGGGGATAGGTGGGAGGAGGTCTAGCCTCAATTTGTGGAGGTGCCTGGGACTCTGCATGTTCCATGATGCTCTTAGCACAACATCTGAGGTTCACTGTCCAGGAGCTGAGTGGCAGGAAAACAATTAAGAGTGCCGGGTAGACTTTGCTCTGGGTGCTTTCCATGTGTTAACTCATTTAAATCCTCTCAACATTATGAAGTTATTCTTAACATACCCAAGTTACAAAGAGGAAACTGAGCTACAGAAAAGTTAATTTCTTATTGAAGTCATACATTTGGCCCTGCCTGGTTTGGCTCAGTAGTTAGAACATCGGCCCACAGACCAAAGGGTTGCAGGTTCGATTCCAGTAAAGGGCATGTACCTGGGTTGCAGGTTCGATCCCCTGCTCCAGTCAGGGTTATGCAGGAGGCAACCAATCGATGTGTCTCTCTCACATCAATGTTTCTCTCTCTCTCCTTCCTTCCCTCCCTTCCATTCTTTTTAAAAAATTCAATGGAAAAATATCCTCCGGACCGCAGGCCGACGCTCTAACCGCTGAGCCAAACTGGCCAGGGCGAAAAATATCCTCAAGTGAGGATTGTTTTTAAATATTTTTTCTTTTAATTGATTTTTAGAAAGAGAGGAAGAAAGAAATAGAAACATTGATGAGAGAGAACATTGATTGGCCGCCTCCTGCATGCCCCCTACTGGGGACTAGGTCCAAAACCCTGGCATGTGCCCTGACCAGGAATCAAACCGGCGACCTCTTAGTGCCTGAGTCGACACTCAGCCACTGAGCCACACTGGCCTGTCTCGGGTGAGGATTTAAAAAATAAATAAAAAATAAAGTCACACGTCTGTTAAAGTGGTGGAGCAGGGATTCAGTCCAGCTAACATCACATTAAAATGCTTCTAGAGAATAGAAGTGTACCCTTAAGAGTTTGGGTTTTAGAGGCAGCAGATTGGGAGTCAAGCCTGCGCTATGCTAGGGGTCACTGTGTAGCCTTGGGGAAATGATTTATCCTCTGAAGGCTTCCAGATCCTCACTGGTAAGGCAGACAGGGTAACAGAACCTAACACATGGAACTGTAGTGAAGACAGATATAGAAGCACTTAGCACAATGCTACACCTCCTCTATGGTCACAGTTGGTTTGCTCTGCTGAGGAGCCCCAGCCCTGGCCAGTCCACCATGACAACCTTCCCTGTGTCTTCTCATTTTCCAGGAAGCTGAAGGTGAAGAGGCCTGATGGTCCACAGAAAACTCACCCCAATTTCTTCTGGCCGGGTCACCTCCTGGACAAGCTGCAGCTCTACCTGCCCACTGTGACTGTGGACCGGAGCCTGGCAATATTCAGTTGTGTCCAACAGCTGCCTCATGTTTACTCAGCCACTTACCACTCCAACCACTGGTGGCCCATTAGGAACAGGAACTATATGACCTGTGCCTATTACGATGGCCCCAAGGTCTACTACATTAACTAGAGTAGCCAGGAGATGTCAGACCCAGCCACCCTGGGGCTGGGGACTAGTGCAGCTAGCAGCCCAGAGCCATAAACACCGGGGGTGTCAAAGAGTCAGACAAAGGAAATAATTTCAATGGGATGGCCTGGGGCTAGCTGTCTCTAGAGCAAAGTGTCCAGGGTCTCAGAGGCAGATGTGTCCAGGGAAAGATGTGCAGTTTTTGAGTGTTTCCCTGCCCTTCTGAAATAATAAACCAGGTTGGAGTTTTTCTCATGTCAACTTTGATTCAGCTGATGTAATTTCTTGCTCTGAAGCTGTGGCCAGCGGGGTGTTTGGAAAAGTTGGGGTCCTGAGCCTGAGGTAATACAGCAGGCACATTTCCAGGGATGTTGACAGATGCCTTTCTGGTACCTCCAGCCTCTCATCCTGGGATCTCAGTGCCCATAGGGAAGCAGCAGGCAGTGTGGGGAGCCCTGTGCCCTCCTCTGAGAAACACCGTGTCTCTCATCCCCCCCAAACCAAGCCATTGGATTACTACTTCCAAATCTCTTGGGTCTTTTGCAATTGGAGGCATGTTTTCTGGTGCATGAGCTCTTTGTCTGATTAACCCATCTGATCCTGTCAAGACGTTTTCCTTCATGACACACACCATATGGCCAGCTATTAACGCAGTGCTCCCATGCTCTTCGTCCCATATGACTTCCCAAAGACCACAGGATATGAGGTGTGGTGCAGTCACAACACAACGGGGTTTTAGTCTCAACTCCTTTGCCAGCTGTGTGACCTGGGACAAGATATTTGACTTCACATTTCTGGGTCTCCTCAAACTCCCCCTCTCTTCATAGTTAAACCTCATGAAGGAGTTGTCAGCACTCACTCTCCTCTCTTCTCACTTCTCATTCAGTTAAGAACACATCCAATTTAGCTTCTGTCTCCCTCTGGCGCCTGGAATTACTCCTATCAAGATCACTAATGAGCCCTGCTCGTGTGGTTCAGTGGATTGAGCAACACCCCATGGACTGAGAGGTCCTGGTTCGATTCCTTGGTCAGGGCACATGCCCAGGTTGTGGGCGCGATCCCCAGTGCGGGACATGCAGGAGGCAGCCGATCCATTGATGTTTCTCTCTCTCCCTTCCTCTCTCTCTAAAAAAAAACACATATATTTTTAAAAGATCACTAATGACAGTATTGTGGAATCAAGGGGTATTTTTTTCCTTCTGAAATTTGATTTTCGCACTACTCTTAAAACCAAAAGCTAAACAAAACAAACCAAGAACAACAATTAAAAACTTGGCAGTTTTGACCTGGCCGGTTTGGCTCAGTGGTTAGAGCGTCGGCCTGCGGTCCTGAGAGACCTGGGTTCGGTTCCCGCTAAGGGCACGTACCTCGGTTGCAGTTTGTCCCCAGCCCTGGTTGGGTCGTGTGGGTGGCAACCACTCGACGTGTCCCTTTCACGTCGATGTTTCTCTCTCTCTCTCTCCCTCCCACACTCTATCTGAACAAAAAATAGAAAAAATGTCCTCCGGTGAGGATAAAAAAAAAACTTGGCAGTTTTTTTTGAGTCAACCACCAAATTTCACTTTCTAGATGTGTACAATATGTAAAATGGTAAATTGTGGGAAGGATAGTAAATCCCACAGAATGATAGCTATTATACTTAGTCTCATTGCTATTTACACTACAATAATTTACGTCAGAGAGTATTAGGAAATCTCTGTTTTGTTTCCTCCTGGCCACCAAGAGGCGCACTTTGGAGGAGAAAAAAGGCGAAAGTAATCTAAAAGCTGGGGGCGGAAAAGCGGCTTCAACTTCTGGCGGAAATGGATGCCCCCTCCACCAGGTCTTAGAAGTTCAGAAAGAATTCTAAATATTCTACGTAGTCTCAACAGCAGGCATGAAAAAATTTCAGTACTACTCCTATATATTAATGTTTAGTAAAAACAGGTAACCCTCAAACTTTTTCAGTATTATTTCTCTGACGTTTCTTTATTTCTGAACGACCAAGAGCCGGAAGTGCTCGCCTCTTCCCTGCCAGGACCCAGAGGTCAAGTCCCATCAGGCCTCGCGCGCCACCTCCCCCTCTCTTCCTCGGCGCTGCCTACGGAGTTGGCAGCAATCTTCTACTCGGTGAGTTTTAATCCGTGGTCATCTCTGTCTGTGAGGTCTTTATTAGTCCCCATCGCCCCCTGGTGAGGACGCCTGCCCTTCCGAAAGGACGTCTCTGTGGTATTGCTCTTGTCGCCTGGCTGGAGCGCGTTCAGGAACACAACGAAGGGAGGTGACCCGGCCGGTGATGGAGTTTCGCTTATCAGGGCTGCTTGCGCTCCTAGGGAGGCCTCTTGGGGTCAGTCTGAGCTGCAGGCAGCTTGTTGGAGCCCTAGGGATGTAGATTGCCGGTTGGGGCCAGACCGAGGGGGCTCCTGCTGGGCGTAGAGCCGTCTGGGGTCTGTGGCCTCATTGGCCAGGGCTCGAGCCGTCGGATTACTTTGATCTGCGGTATCTGCCCACATGGTATAGAAATAGAAATCCTATTTTCGTTGCCCGACACTCCCTCTCTCTCTAGTCTCTGGCCCTGGGGTTACTGCTGCGGCGGGATTGCCAAAAAACAATCGAGTTGCGAGTCGAGTCGTTCAGTTACCAGAAATTCTGTTAGTGGGTCAGAATCGCTGGGAGTTTGAAGCTGTATCCTTATCTTCGAGGAAGTCATGGAGGGATTAGGAGGTGGAGGTCGATTAGTACCTACTGTGTGCGGAACAAGCAAATTGATGGCTGTGAAGAGAACAAACGGTACTGCAGTGGGAAAAGTGAGGGTTAGGGACAAGGATACCTTGAGGAACGTAACTTTTGAGTTGATCTCCAGGTAGAATGGTAAGTTCAAAGGCCCAGAGGTGTTTCAGAAGCACATCTAGTGGTTTCTTCTTACCAAACGTCTTTGGTCTGGGCACTGCCAGTGTTACATGTGCGATTGCATTTCCCATTTTTACAGAATGGTTCATGAGTCTGTCAAAGGCCAGCGTAATTAAAAGGAAATTGGACCGTCTGGGAGTTGGGACACTGTGGAGTAGGATTTTCTGCTACTTTTGCAGGCAGAGAACATTTGGGGGCCAGTTTGTTTTAGGTTAGCTATTGGTATCCTTTCTTAGTTTTGAGAAGGTGAGGTGATTCTAACCTCCCAGGATCGCATCTGGAGAGTGGCTAATATTCTGCCAGCTTCGGAGATGGGAGGGAAAGCAAGCCTGGCAGAGGTACCCATTCCATTCCCCGCTTGCCCTGTAGCTGGTGATTGGAAGACTCTCTGCAACAACGTTAAAGCCCTGGGCAAGGACAGCCTCTTTCCAGTACTGTTCTTTGTTTCATATAATCTGTCTCTTTTAAAGGCGCCATGGCTGCCCTCAGACCCCTAGTGAAACCCAAGATTGTCAAAAAGAGGACCAAGAAGTTCATCCGGCACCAGTCAGACCGATATGTCAAAATTAAGGTATGTGGTCCTGGGATGGAAGTGAAAGTGTGTTGAGGTACAGAAAAGGGTTCTTGAATCAACTGTTAGATTTCTGGTATCACCTAGCCAGAAGATGACCTTTGGCAGATGAACCAACCAGTCTGGTTGGTAGCATTTACTGGCACTCAGCCTCCTGAAGTGTAAATTGAGATAAATGACAAGGCATAGTTGGCTGTTTGAGGTGTCTAGAGGCTCATACTTATATCATATTTCAGGTGGCCTTATGATGGTATGAGGTAGATTGTTCTTATTCTATAGATGAGAAAACTTAGGTCTTTTTTTAAAATACGTTTTTATTGATTTAAGAGATAGGAAAATATCGATTGGCCACCTCCCACATGCCCCCTCCTGAGGAATCGACCCCCCAACCCAGGCATATGCCCTGACTGGGACTCAAACCAGGGACCTCCTGGTTCATAGGTCAATACTCAACCCCTGAGCCACACCAGCCAGGCAAGAAAACTTTGGTCTTGGTTGAGTACAGTGTGGAAACCCATGCTCTTCCTCTTACTGTGTACACAATCCCCTCGTGTTCCATTGGTGTGCAATCTGTTTTTTGCTTAGAAGGACCATGGATGTGGGTCTGTATTCCTGGTGTGCAAATACAGGAATCTTATTTATCTTCACCAAAAAAAATAAAAAGTGGTGAAATACTATTACCCAAAGACAGCTGTTTGTCATGTTTCTTTTCATTTGGTCCCCTTTTTCCTCAAAAGGGAAAGTTGACAGTCTGCACAGACACTAACCCACCTGTGTGTCTTCTTTTAGCGGAACTGGCGAAAACCTAGAGGTATTGACAATAGGGTGCGCAGAAGATTCAAGGGCCAGATCTTGATGCCCAACATTGGTTATGGGAGCAACAAGAAAACAAAACACATGCTTCCCAGTGGCTTTCGTAAGTTTCTGGTCCACAACGTCAAGGAGCTTGAAGTGCTGCTGATGTGCAACAAGTGAGTTGGATCCTGCCTTTGGGTTCATATGTCAGAAGTATGCATCTGTGTGAGCATTTTTGGTAGGAACTCTAGACCTTTCAAAATGCATGTAGAGAAGTTGTGTGTTCTCTCAAGAGCTTAGTGAATGCTTGTTGGGGACTTCAGAATGTTTTTGGGGGAGGCAATGACTTGTCCTGAGAATTGTAGAGACCCAAACAGAAGGACTTTGACACTACAAACATTGTAGTGTCCTTTTGGCAGTTGTTTCCAGAACATCGCTTTGTCTGTGTGAGGGGTAGCCTCGCACCTATGGAGCACTTAAACTGTGGCCACAGGTTATCTTCAGAATGCTACAAGAATGGAGGAATTACTGTCTGATGTAGAGTTCAGTGTGATCAGATGTGCAGAAAAGAAGGAAGACTGCAGGCAGAGGGCACTTAACAGAGTGTTGTATAGATGCAAGAGCGTATGGAGGGGTCACAGCATTACTTTCTCATTGTTTTAAGAAAGTTAGACACTTGATGAGCTCTGTGTGAGACTTTGGGTCTGCTTAGGCCAAAACTAGGACAGTGGGTTGAGAAAAGATTGCT